ATCTAACCTGTGGCCCATTCCAATTTTGGCTGTACAGGCATTCACTTAGATTGTGATGTCGCATCGCGCCCAACCAGTGGAATACCCAACAACTTTAATTTATCTTATACTTGAGGTCTCTGCGGCATTACCGTCTTACTGCTATCAGCTTCGGCTACCGCATGCCAATGCCTTTCGTTTCCTAGCTCAGTCTGTTTAACACCAGTATGACTGATGGGCCTCCTAGAACCACCTAGCTCATTCCCGCTTCATGTTAACAGACAATCCTTCGTATTATGATGCCGCCTAGCTCTCAAACGTTATACGTGCCGGCCTTTTCAACTTGTCACCTCATGCCTGCTGATTACTTCGACCTTACGTTTTTATTCATAGCACCTGCCGGATTGCCAAGGTCGCTGTCCGCTGATTCCAACCTATATCCGTTTTACTCTAATATCACTGATCAGCCCTAAAGGGTCACCCAGACTACGGCTTATTGAAATTTAGCATTACAGGCTACTATTTTACTGTACAAATTCACCTTGGAGTTAAACAGTTAGTAGCTTTTGGTGCCGCCGCCCAGCTTAATCTGCTACCCCCGGTCCCTTGCAGAGCTAGCTCTGTAACCGTTTTCCCGATACAGCCGTAGTATGCAGGCCCTTCCATTCTCGCTACTGTTCATAAAATTGGAAGTTTATTAGTCCATACCTCAAATTGCGATAGCAAGCGGCTCCTGCTTTAGTTAATCGGTCTCCCTTCTTCCCGTTCTCCGCCGTCTACCTGAGTTGTACCTTTTGCTGTAGAAATCCACCTTGCAGTGAAACTATTAGTAACCTTGACGATGCAGCCCATGTCATTCTGCCGCTCCACGTCCCTTTCAGAGCTGGCTCCATAACCGTATTTTCGCTACAACTGTGGTAGGCTAACCCACACCTTCTGGCTCACGTCCTTAACCTTAACTGGTCCATAGCCCTACCTTATATTATGCTAGCGAGCATCTCAAGTTTCACAATGATCCCGGCATGCACCGTTAGGCTTCTCCGCCGTTTGTTTGAGATAAATGGTACATTATAGAAATCCGCCATAAAGTGGAACACCGTATCGTTTGGTGCTGCTGCCCATCTCATCATTCTACTTATAGTCCCGCGTAGAGGTGCGACTGCAACCCTTTTTCACTACACCTGTAGTTTGAAATCGCTTCCATCCTCGCTCCATTTCTTAACTTTGATAATCCATTGGTCCATGCCTCGTCTTACGATAGCTGCTGGTTCCCGCTTCAAAATACAAGCGGTTCCCACTACCACACGTCCCTGCCATCTGCCAGACTTATACTTTATACTGTAGTAGTCCACTTTGGATTGGTGCACTAAGTAGTTTGGTGCTCCAACCCGTATCACAAAACTAGCCAACGTCCCTTTCAGAGCTGGCGTTGCAACCGTATTCTCGTTACAACTGCAGTATAGACTCCCGTCTTTTCTCTCCCCTGTTTGTAAACTTCAACTGCCTTTTGTCCGTGCCTTACATTACTTGCCTTACATTACTTGACATCTTTTGACGATGCAGCCCATATCATTTTGCTATCCCACGTCTCCTACAGAGCTGTCCGTTCAATCAGTACCTCGATACAGCTTTAGTTTTTTGCCCTTTCTCCCCTTGCTTCAGTTTTCGACATTGAATGCCTAACAGTATGTAACTCATCTTAAGATAGCGAGTGACTTCTGATTCACCATTAACCCGGCACGCACCATTCGCCTTCTCTGCCGTCTATATGATGCAAATATTTCGCTAGAGAAGTCCACCTTGGAGTGGAACACTTATTAATATTTGGCGCTGATGCCCAGCATAATCCGGTACGCATACCCACTTTCAGAGATGGCTGTGCAACCGTTTTATTGCTACAGCTGTCATCCGAAGTCCATTCCATTCTCCACACCGTTCTTAACATTGAACGGCTATTGTTCCGTGCGTTACATTAAGATAGATAGAGGCACCTGCCTCACAGTCAAGCCAGCTCTGCCCACGTTTTTCTCTACCGTCTTTTTGACGAATATACTTCACTGTAAAACTCCGCCTTGGAGTAGAACACTTAGTACCTTTTGATGCTGCTACCCAGCTTATTCCTCTGCTCAGGCTCCTTTCTGAGCTGGCTCTGCAACTGTTCAATCGCTATAGCTGTAACATGTATTCCCATCTACTATCGTTCCCGGTTGCAAATTTGAATGCCTATTAGTACGCTCCACATCGCTAGATAGCACGCAGCTCCTGCTTCATAACTAAGCAGGCACGCACATTGAGGATTTTCTGCTGACCTAGCAGAGTTTTATGCCTCAATATAGAAGCAACCCTTGGAGTGAAAACTTAGCAGATTCTGGCGGGGTTGGTGCTATTATTCACTTACAACTTGTCAATCCCGGAGCTAGTTTTACAACCGTTTTCTCGCTACAGGTGTTGCGTGTAGTGCTGCCCGTTCTTCCTCCTGGTTTCAACACTGCATACCTATTAGTCCAGGCCTGTACATTCAATAGGGCGCCGCTCTGCTTCTTAACTAATCGGATTGCCAGAAACTCACGCTCCAGCCGTCTATTTGACTTTTAAATTCCATCGTTGATGTCCAAATTAGTGTGGAACGCTACGTATCTTTTAAAGCTGCTGCACAGACCATTCTGCTACAACTAGACCCTTTTAGAGCTGGCTCTGCAACCATTTTCCCTACAGTCCAAGTATGTACCTCCTACTCTTATCGCTTCAGATTTTACCATCGAATGCCTATCAGTCCATGGCTCATAGTACGATAATGGGCAGTATCTTCCTCACAATTAACCCGACTCCCAGTTGCACTCTGTATCTGCCGTCTATTTGACTTGTATGCTGTACTGTAGATGTCAACCTTGGAGTGGAACGCAGTATCATTTATCGCTGCTGCCATCCGTTTCCGCCATTTCAGGTCCCTTGCAGAACCGGCTACGTAACCGTATTGTCGCTACAGCTGAAGTAGGTTGTCACTTCTATTTCCGTCGCAACCTCTCCAACACTCCGTCTCACACCAGCACTTAGCTACTTCTCTAGCATCCGATTACTGAACTGGTTACGCTATTCATCTTATGAGCCTCTAGCCCAGGGTAGCAACTCCAATGGCCATCATGCATGTTTGAACGATAAGCTCTACCACTGCCGTCCAATCGCTCAACCTACGTCTTAGGCGCAGGTTCTACTACTTACTATGCTCTTCTGATTCCCTCAAACCATTCACCTGCTAACCATGCAAGAACATCTCCGTTTCCACACAACCGTTGCATACTTACCAATTTGAGCAGCAGTTGTCTCTCGCATTCAACAAATAGCAGGCCACGTACTTGCATGCAAAACAACAGTTCCGCTGTACAATATATTCGGGCATACCATTGCTTTTACCCACCACGTCACCAAAGCGTTTGTATTTCGACATTAACATAGTCCTGTTCAATTTCCTAGGCCGTTTGTTCGATCCGCTTATCTTTTCTCCCTTATTCTAAGGCATTTCAATATCTGCACGAAACGCCTTTGAAGACATGACCGCGACGCTCAGCTGACCGCGGAATTGACACAGAACAATGAAATGATCAACGCTTCATAATGCTGACACACTAAAATAATCCGGAAAACTAATCTACTTAATCCACCTCACCTGAGTCGACGAACTTCAACAGCTCCAATCACTTGTGGCTGTCTCCGAAGATACAACCAGAGACATGGGAAAAATTTGGCGAAACATGACTGCGAATACCCTTGAGGACTATCGATCTGATGCAACCCTGTTAGTGTCAGAACACTGGTCGGCAGCGTTCAAGGAAGTGGTTGGTTTTCGCCTGGCAAACGTACACAATAGCAAAAGCCACAAATGCCTGTTTAACCACACTGCGGCCTGGCGGATATGACTCGCCACTCAATAAAATCACTGCCCCAACCATTCGTTGGCAGTCGACTGATACCGCATTTCATAAATTCTGTGCATATATCTGCACTCACACTCCTACGCTCACATATTTGATCAGTGACATGACACCATATTTAAATTATCTTTGCAGCTTTTTCCTCATGGTTCACACCCCTGACCAACACTGAATACACAGCCTGATCGAACTAGTTCCTCACCAACATACCCCAATTCAGTGAACTAATTCTTAGAGCTGCATCACGCATCCGTTGAGGACAGCGTTCAGTCGGGTCATTTAGGCCTACACTACTGACAATAACTGCGCTACTCCCGACCTTGGACTTGCTTATCATACAATTAGGTATAATATTGCATTATGCTGATCATGCCAAGAAAGCCTGTTTAGCTTTGTTGGGAATAAAATATTTATTTGTTTAAAATATTTGTATCTCATTGACAAGCACTAAGTCCTGGGTTGCTTGTAACCTTGTTAGAAATAAATAGGTATAATTCTAGACGGACTAGAGTCGGCACCCTTAAGGGTTCAGATCAGTCTTTACATTAGTCCTACGCTCTTGCATGATAGTAGGTAAAATATGCGTATATGTTCCTCTGATCAGTTACAAATGCCTTGGCATTGCTTGGCGTAGAGCTGATGGGGCAGTGGGCGCAGACCTTGAAATTCTTCTGGTTCCTTCGGGCGATATTGAGCTCCTTGTGCATTTGTTGTGGACGTTGTGCAGAGCTGTAGCTGTGCCGTTATTCTTTGGAATAAGCTCCAATTCACCACAACTTTATTTTAAATTAATTGGACTAGCTTGGCTCGCATTGTCGTTAAAATTCTTGGTGCGAACATGGAGGAAATAAGAGTGGCGGAATTATAAGGGATAAAAAAGCTTAAAAAGTATTTGGAGAAAGGCATATAAAACTAAAATAGTTTGGTTAAGAGATATACTAAGGCGATGTGCTTCACTAGAAAAATATAAAAATTACAAAAAATATGGCCAAAGTTTCCTTGCGTTTATATTGATTCCCGCCGCCAAATATCAAACTAAATAAATCTCCTTAAACAGTGTAGTACGCAAGCACGGAAGAACTCCAAGGGCTTAGAACGAAGTTCTATTACACAACACGTAGCCTAGTTAACCAATGTCGTGTTCTTGTTCTCCTCCGGTAATGGAGCAGGAAAGGCGCTCTGAAAGGCAAACGGGAGAGAGTGCCGTTATAGCAACGATTCAACTTTGAACGCGCGCCAAAACAATATCGATTCTTCTCTACACCACACCCCCTCTAAGCAGGCAGCGTCCCCGTTGCCACCCCATAGCCGCCCTGAGCCGGCACCTCCAGTTCAACTGCTACTTCCCCAGGCGTTTCGTTCGGCCCCTCGACAGATTGGTCAGTTTTTCTCCGGAATGGCTTGAGTCGATTGAAATGTACTGTCATGGGTTGACTGGCAGGGTTGTTGGGATCTTTGATAACACATGTCACATCCGATATCACCCGCTGTATTATGTACGGTCCTGTCCACTCATGGTGTAGCTTAACCGGAACTCCTGCCGTTGGTACCTGGTGCAAGTAAACTTGGTCGCCAGCCTTTAAAGGAGCGCCGAAAACTTTCTTGTCGTAATAGTCTTTCTGTCGTCGATGGGCGTTCCCAAGGTGAATACGTGCTGCTTGATGTGTTTGATGAAGCGAATCAAGGAGTTTGCTAACATACTCTGTCACCGATGAATGTGGCTGTTGCGGACTGGGTAATCGGATGTCAGACGGTAATCGGACTTCTCTCCCGGTCCACATAAAAGATGGTGTTTGACCAGTCGAAGCGTGCACTGTGCTTCGATATGCCAGCAAGCATTTTGGTAACATAGCGTCCCACTCACTTACATTTTGCTCCACAAAGGCCTTCAGTAGCGATTTCAGCGACCGGTTTGTACGCTCAACTTGTCCGTTGCCTTGCGGGTGGTAAGCAGTCGTTCGCGTCTTGTCTATACCGAACACACGACAAAGTTCCTGAACCAGCAAACTCTCGAAACATGAGCCCCTATCAGAATGTAGCTGCCCCGGTGCTCCCCAGTGACACACCCAGTGATTTACCATCGCCGTTGCTACGGTGACTGTATCGGCTTGGGCGATCGGAACTGCTTCGCACCACTTGGTGAAATAGTCGACCATGACCAAGATGTACCGATGGCCACGTGATGTTTCTGGTAGGGGACCAACAAGATCTACTCCCACAATCTCGTTCGGGTAGCCTGCATTCATAGGCTGCAATGGTGCTCTCCTGGTGATGGTCGGATTCTTGAATGTGGCGCATGTCTCACACGTCTGGCAAAAGTTAGTGACGTCTCTCCGTTGGTGTGGCCACCAAAAACGTTGACGTGCTGCCGCTTCCAGTTTGTTGATTCCAGCATGACCCAGCTGTTCGTGCAGTTTAGATAGCACTTCGGAAACTAATGATCGCGGAACTACGATTCTCCTGATATAGTTTGGGCCAAAATCAAACACTAGCACACCTTCCTCGATAGAGAGCTTGTCCCACATCGCCCATAAGCATCGAGCTTCGTAACTTTTTCCCTCCATTTCCTTCGCGGTAGGTTTGTCGCTCCCCAACAGCCGTTTGTCATAGATCGGTGATACGTCTGGATCTGCTGCCTGTGCCTCCTGCCAGCGACCGTACTCCGAACTTTGAAGGTTAACTAGAGCTACGTGTTGTGTACTACAAGACGGGCAGTCTCCATGAGCACGAGTAGGAAGTCTGGAAAGAGCGTCCGCGTTGGCATGCAGTGCACCAGGTCGGTGTCTGCACTCAAAATCATACTCCTGAAGTTGTTCCTGCCATCTGGCGATCTGTCCCTCGGGGTCTCTGAAATTCTGTAACCAACGAAGTGACTGATGATCTGTTCGTACCAGAAACTTCCTTCCTAATAGGTAGTGTCGGTTTTGTTTTATAAAGAATACTAGGGCTAGCATTTCCTTTCTGGTTGTGCAGTAATTCCGTTCTCTTGCACTGAGACTTCTACTGCTGTACGACACCACTCGTTCTATTCCGTCCTGCCCTTTCTGTGACAAAACAGCTCCAATCGCCTGGTCGCTCGCGTCCGTGTCTAGAATAAACTCCCCGGCATTTGGTGACAGATCGGGGAAAACCAACACCGGAGCTGCACAAAGGGATTCTCGTAACCGATCGAATGAATTTCGACACTCAACGGTCCATTCGAAGGTCTTACCTTTCTGTAACAAGGTATTCAAAGGCGCAGCGATCTCTGAGAACCCTTTCACGAATCGCCGATAGTATGAGGCTAACCCTAAAAAACTGCGTAGTTCATCAACGTTGGCAGGGGTTGGCCATAATCTCACTTGCTCCGTCTTACGAGGGTCAGTACGAATCCCCATCCCCGAAATGACGTGCCCAAGATACGTTACCTCGGTCTGTAGTAAATGGCACTTTGTGGGCTGGAGTTTGAGGCCCACATTTACTAGGCGTGTTAGCACCTCCGCCAAGTTGTTTAGGTGCTCGTCTTTTGTTTTTCCGTGTACAATGACATCGTCCAGGTAAACAAGACACTTGTGGGGCATCAATTCGTGTAACACTTTTTGCATCAGTCGTTGAAAAGTCGCAGGGGCGTTAGAGAGGCCAAAAGGCATGGTCTGGAACTCATAAAAACCTGATGGTACTACAAACGCCGTTTTCGCTCTGTCGCTCTCCTCCACTTCTACTTGCCAGTAGCCAGAAGCCAAATCTAGCGTACTGAAATAAACTGATCCTCCCAGTGCGTCAAATAGATCATCGATCCTGGGGAGGGGAAAAGCGTCTTTTCGAGTAATCTCATTTAATCGTCTATAGTCGACACATAGGCGAAAACCACCATCCTTCTTTTTCACTAGAACAACCGGGGCTGCCCATGGTGAAGTCGAGGGCCGTATTACCTCCTTTTCTATCATGTCATCTATGAGCTTTTGCAATTCAGTCTGCCAATGTAATGGTATGCGTCTTGGGGGGATTTTAATCGGGATTGCATCACCGGTGTCGATACGGTGTTTCACGAGATTGGTTCGACCCAAGTCGGTACTGCGCCATGCAAATGCGTCTGAGTGGTTGCGCAACACGTCTTTGAGCCGCTTCAGTGTCTGCTCATCCGTGACTCTGTCGAGTGAGCGAATAAAGGCGTTAATGTACTTCTCACTCTCTAAGGTGTCCTCATAGGTTGTAGATGCTTCCAAAGCACCACTTCCACAGGGTTTTAACAAAACTGTACAGTTATCGGTGATTAGTTGGCGCCTGTCCAGATCCAATCGACACTTCAACCGGCGTAACAGATCCATCCCAACAATAACAGCAAACGGAATTTTGTCCGCAACGATAAACTCCTGGGTGAAGCTCTGTTTCGCGACGTCAACTTGTGCGGTTAGGGATCCTCGAACGGACAACAATTCTCCATTGGCGGCAGTTAGTCGGCAGCGACAAGGCGCGTATACACGTTCTGCTAGCTGGTTAGTCAAACTAGATCTGATTAGGCTCTTACATGCACCTGTGTCGATGAGACCTATCAATGGAACCCCTGCTATCTGTAATTCTATTGCTAATGCTGAATCTGTGGTCGACGCACAAACAATGGCTGGTATAAAGTGTGAATGCGATCGGTGCCACTCACCTGGGCGTCCGTTATTGTAGCGAGGTAGACCACGATTCGGAATTGGTCGGCGGGGCCACCGAGAACCCTGTTGCGTTGGTCGCCATGAGCCTGAATATCTTTGCTGATAGTCAGGATGCCACGTTAACCGTTCCGTTGGCGCACGTCTGGGGCGTCCATTTCCCCTCAAAGCGAAACACCCGGAAGTCGGCGTGGTCATCGCTTTGTCGACCTGCTCAAGTTGTTCGCCAATTCGTACGGCTGCATCCAACTCCTGCGGGGGGTGAAGAAGAAATTCACGTTTAATGGATGGTGTTTGGATTCCTTCTAGGAGTTGTTCTAGTATTCGTTTATCACGGTCGCTTGATGACTCGCTCTCGTATGCGGTGTCGGCCATCTTTCGGAGTTCGCGCACGTAAGTCCTAATGCTCTCTCCGGGCCACTGGTACCGTGAGTGGAATTCCCTGCGTAGGGGTGCAGGCAATGCAGGAGGGTCCAGTAGGCGGCGCAAGGCAGTGAACGTCTCAGACGTGACTTCTGTTTCCAGAATCTTACTATCAGCAACGACATCAAAAGCATCCCCTGACAGTAAGCCGGCGAGCACGCCTGAATGTTGGTGGACTGGGAACTGCCGGAGGTAAAGCTGCACTTGTTTCTCCCATCTGGAGTACGACATCCCGGGAGTGTAACGCTCCGGAGGTGGGATTGCATGCATACAGACTGGCGAACTCGAGCCTGTTGACAACTTTTCCAAAGCATGGGACAAAACATCCAGTGAAGCGGAAAGTCTGGTAGTGGGGTCAACGATATCAGAATGGCCTTCGTCATCAGACTTGTTGTTCATTCTTGGCATGATCTTCATTAGACTAATGATGATGGATTCCTGATTCTTGTGACTTGGCAGGGTCGCCACTTTGTAGTACGCAAGCACGGAAGAACTCCAAGGGCTTAGAACGAAGTTCTATTACACAACACGTAGCCTAGTTAACCAATGTCGTGTTCTTGTTCTCCTCCGGTAATGGAGCAGGAAAGGCGCTCTGAAAGGCAAACGGGAGAGAGTGCCGTTATAGCAACGATTCAACTTTGAACGCGCGCCAAAACAATATCGATTCTTCTCTACAACAGAAGCACTTTTTCCAAGGCTAGAATATTGCGTGCCGTGACACAATAATGAGCTGCTCGTGACAAGTATTAATCGCTAATAAAGTTAAAAGTCAAAACAATGCAATACGTGTAGCAGTTTGTCATTTATTCGCAATTGAGTGGTGGTCTACTTATAATGCCCTACTCCTTTTCCGCTAAAAATGGCACTGTTTTGCAAGTGGATAGCAGAAAAAAGGAAGGAAGATATAAAAAGTAGCGAACCAGTATACATTATAAATAGGTATAACTGTCTAGCAAGGCTCTATAAGGCCCGTAATATCCTGCCACATCTAGGTACGTCGTAGGTGGCCGTAAAGCAAACCTTTTAGGTATACGTAGCAAATGTAGGAAAATATACTATAATTCTGGGGGAAAACACTAGAAATCTAGTAGGGAATATTATGTATGCATGGTAATTCAGGCGAACGTATAATTATTTCACGGTCAGAGGGCCTCAGTGTACCAGTTTCAGTAGATACGGAGCCACGTAAACCACTAGGAGTTTAGTAGTTTTAAGCGTCTAAGCGGTTCTGAAGTTTACATCACGCCTGTATGTGCTAAGTCTACCTGAATAACACAGGAGATCTTTTGGCTCATTTGACACGTTTTGGCCTTGAATATACGCACATTTATTAACTAATCCTTGCATGGTTTATCTCTGAGATCCTATTTTCTATATTCATGAGGCTGGGTTCCTAACACCAGTGAGCTAGAGGAGCCCGTCACTAATAGGCAAGAAATGAGTATCGGACAGTTTGGCAAAATTTATCAAACCGCTTTGAGACGTGTAATCCATTTGAGTCTGCGTTGGTGGGCAGTACCATCTGTATTTCTGGGGATTGAGCTTGCTCGAACCTGAGGGATTATTAGGCCTCATATGTTGATGCACTCTACTGTGCAACACTTTGATTAAGTTCCAGCTACTTCTCTACAATTTTACGTTCTGAAGCAAGTGTCAGCGGTGTTCAACCAGGTGGCAGTGTTAACTAGTACTATACTGTCGCACCAGCTATTTCCTTAATGGTTTTCCTAGCAAAAGTTTTCTGACACCATAAAAATATCATGATAACGTAAAGCAAGGGTACTAATAACAAGAATTTGGAGACGGTTGTTCACCCACCGTTATTTATAAGGCACGATGTGTACGATGTGCTTCAGCCCAAGATTGACAATAAAACTAGTATCATATCTATTGAAGTAAATGGAATAAACACAGAGAAAAGTCTGTGTTCAATGACGGTAGTTGTAACATCATCACGTGTTCAGCATCCTTTACTGGGTATCTGGGTGAAAATTAAATGCTGGCTATAAGCATGGAAGAAGAGCCACCCAAGTAGGGAAGACTGCATTTTGCAAGTAAACAGCTAATGTGCTGCGTACAACGACAAAATTAATTCTTATCGTCTTACACCAAGGTAAATTTAGGTATGGTTGAGCGCCGTCGCCAAGGTACCCTTGTAAACATGGGCGGTCAACGTGATGCAAAGTGAATCAGTCAACTGCCGCAAATGTATCTTCTACCGCATTGGATAGCCAAGATTTTTTGGCACGATGACACCGTTAGGCGTATGCGCGACAGCTTATTGTACTAGTATGCTCTACTAATTTAGTCATAAGCGAACAGCTTACGGCAGTGAGCAAACCAGGTACGTGCCTACGGCCGATTTTTCTTCGAAGTCTAACTCGCCCCCATCCCCGTACTTTTTGGTGAAACTCCTTTGTTTTCGTTTGCTTTTTACTTGGTTCGTACAGACGGACAAAAATAAGCGCTAGGTGCTCGTTCGTGAAAACAAAAAGCGTCGCTAGCGTAGATAATAGTGACTTAATTAGCACAATAAAAGCAGTTCGGTTAAAACGTAAACGCAACATAGTAAATTTGCGCGGGTTTGTTTAAAAGTCCGTTTGACAGGAATCAAAAACGCGGCCGCATTCAATGGTCCCGCCAAGCTTGGTGGTTTCCTTAGGTTTGGCTGACTTTGAGGAAGGTTGTCAGTCACACACTGGCATAAGAAAATTACAGAACGTTCGGCCTTGTTGCCATAACTATTAACAATCGAGTATCACTGAAATAATGGATTTTCGGGGAATAGCTAAATTGCCAAGGACAGCTCCCCATGTAAGATTGGATCTACGGTGTAAGATATAAGTCAGAGAACGACCTGTAATCTCCTGGACGGTGTTCGAATGCTGGCGGTCCATCAACTCGGCCGAAGTGCGCAAGAATCTGGTCCCCTAATCGGCCGTGCATTTTCGTTGCTTTTCTGATAGCCATCGACCATAGACTCCTTTGGCAGGATGTAGCTCGAAAGGCTTTAGCTCTTCCGGTTGGCAATGCGTTAGCCGTTATTGGTTTTGTAAGGAAACGCGTGCTGCGTCCTCATGTCACATTTCCGCGCTTGTCTTTGATCGTACCAGTGGTCCCACTTGTCCCACACTAACATTGGCTTCTCCGGCAAAATCCATCGGTGCTTGGCTTCATGCCACTGATTAAAATCCCGTTAGATTCTGCGGTTCCTTTCGCCACTTGTGAGTAGCGAGCTTGGCCAAACGGCATCAAAAGTAATACGCAGCTTTCTGTTCACCAATGCCTGTGCTGGCGCACTTTGAACAGGCCCCTATGGGTTTGGTGTTGATCGGTATAAAAGAGGAATCGGTCAAACCCCTTCCCTTATATTCCCTTTATTTGATTTGAAGAGCGCTCCGCCAAGAAATTCTGTTGTGGGTAAAACCGCGGTGAGCGGGTGTGCTGGACGGCACATTGTCTGCAGAACTCGTTGAAAATGCTGAGGTGAACTGTGAGCTGTTATCAGTTACAAGTGTGCGGACAACTGAGCTTGGCAAAGAATTGCCCTAGAGATGCTACGGTTGCTTGGGTCGATGCGCTGTGCATCAGGAACACATCAGCCCGTTTGCGGTAAGGGTCGACAGAAATAAGTACACATTAGCCGTTGACCGGCCTTGTGAAATCAACATGAACAGGGAACCGTCGTCTTGTTAGTTTCGTCCAAGTATAGAATTCCGTCTTTACTGGTTCCATTGAAGCCCCAGCGCACTAGTGGCAACTTTCAGCTATCTTTTTCAGTTGGCTCTATGAATGACCGGTACACAACGTTTCGGGCAAGCGCTTTATTCGATTGACCCTTGTAGGTCCTGTATGGTACTGAGTATGTGTCCTGGGGATGCTAATTTGCAGAAAACAGAATGCAGTAGTCCACCATGGAGATTGCGTGCCTCCTTCGGCGGTATTGCTGCAATCCGGCTGCTGAACCTGGGCGTGTCCAACACGCCTTGTTGGGTTGTGCGACTAGCTTAAGTACCGGAACAAAAGCGTTTCGGCTTGCAGAGATTCTGCAGTCACTGGGAGGTCACGTAAGGCGACACGCACAGGCTGCATGACGTCTGGTTTAGGCTAAATTGTGTCAATGACCTCGGCTTCTTTAGCTTGCTGCTGGGCTTCTATAAGACATGAGAGTGCGTTGGCTTGTCCTATGAAAGCGGTTGTTTGCTAGCTGTTTACAACATCAAAGCTCAGCACCCAGCGCCCAGGGTTGGAGACGGTTAGCCGAACAGGCAGTGATGTCCATTTTTGAACCGAAGATAGCCAGCAGTAGTTTGTGATTAGTCAGTAGTTTGAATCGACGGCCATATAGCATCTTCTGGAATTGCTTCACTCCAAAACTTGTGGCCAATGCTTTCTTTTCCATCTGATTGTAGTTTTGCTTGGCAGTTGTCAAAGTCCTGACCGCGTGAGCGATCACTTTCTGGGAGTCATCCGGGTATAAATGCAAACTAACTTCTCCGAACCCGTGATTTGATGCGTCCGTTGCTAGAATGACCTCCCGAGTTGGCGTGTAATGCGCCAGCAAAATAGCTAAGGCCATTAATGACTTGAGCCCTTTGAACGTTCGCTGGCACTCTCGCGTCCAGTTCCCGGGTGATCTTTGGTCAAAAGCCTGTTCAGTGAGGCACGTACGCGTTGCAGCTCAGGCAAAAATGAGCTGTATTGACGGATGAGACCACAGATATACTCTAGCAATTGAACGTCTTTGGTGGTAGCGGCATCTAGTTATGGCTTCAATTTTTACCGAAGCAGGTCGACGGCCATTCTTTTCAAGGATAAAACCAAGTATTTGAAGTAACCTTATTTTGAAGAACCTGGAAAACACACGACTGGATACAACCAAGCACTTCCTCCAATCGGGCAAAGAATTCCTCGTTGTCCGATCATTTAGGATAACGTCATAACTACACAGCGGCTCCAGGAACTCCTGCCAATATGTTATCCATCAGCTGTTACAAACTAATTGGGGCCGTTTTTACTCCAAAAGCAAGCGGTTGTACTGGTACAGCTCACACTGGGTGTTGATCTTCAATAGCTCATTCGCTATCTTGTCAACATATACCTGAAGATACGCGTCAGACAGGTCAAACGTGGTAAAGCATTAGACACCATAAAACTTTACCGTGCATGCAGGTAATAGCAATGGGTATTAGTGACCGTCGTGCACAGCGTTATGACCAGTTGGGAAATCTGCGCTGACGTATACGTTACCATTCACTTTTTTTAAAGTGACAATGGATGTGGCTCATAAGGCGTAGGTTATATGTGTGCAGACGCCAGTTCCTTCTAGTCGCTCCAGCTCTTGCCCAAGCATTGGCATTGCCCATACGAGAACGGAAGTTTAGCTATAAAGTCTGCCCTGTCTTCTCTTTGCAGGGACAGCGTCCCTGTGGATTTGGTGCAATAGCTTTGGCCGTCCTGAAACGTAGGGACAACTTTCTGTTTCCGTAATGTGTCATCTAGTAGACCGACTTCGTTGATGCGTCTGGAGCTGCTCGGATCCTATTGCAAAGTTGATTAAATGTACCGTGAAGCATTCGCGACTTTTCAATCC